AGGCATTCTGACACTGGGGGGGGGGGGACTGACTTGGTGTCACTGACATCCCCAGTGACACCAATACAGTGATCAGTGCTAAAAAACAAAAAAAAAAAACCACATACACCGTACTATTAACACTGGGCAGGAAGGGGTTAACATCTGGGGCCATCAAAGGGTTAACTGTGTGCTGGGAGTGTTTTACCAGGGGGCAGGGTCTATTACTAGGGGGCAGGGTCTATGTGCTTCACTGTAATCACACTGCTCTGGATGGATGTGCTGTACAGTGTGCCCGAGCCGACAGGGACGAAGACTGTTAGTAAACAAAAACAGTCCTCTTCCCCATCAGAGATCCTCGGGCGCTGGCGAGTAATCACCAGCCGGGACGCGGTGATTGTACAAAAGATCAAAATGGGGGGGAAATAATCCCAGATTTGAAGGGGGGATTTGTGTAGGAGGAAATCCTTCACCATCCCGCACTCAAGGCACTAATACACCTCCAGGGTTGTGTGGGACCCCTGATGTACAGGAAGACAGGACTTCAGTGACGAACATTTCCCTCACTCAGGACAGGAACGTGGCTTCTCCCCCGTGTGCTGTCTGAGATGTCTGTAAAGATTGGACGTCTGTGAAAAACATTTCCCGCACTCAGGACAAGAATACGGCTTCTCCCCCGTGTGAGACCTTTGATGCGTGGCAAGATCTGATTTTTTTACAAAACATTTCCCGCACTCAGAACATAAATACGGCTTCTCCCCCGTGTGAAACCTCAGATGTACGACAAGATCTGATTTTTGTACAAAATATTTCCCGCACTCAGGGCAGGAATACGGCTTCTCCCCCGTGTGCAGTCTCTGATGTTTGTAAAGATGGGCCTTCTGTGAAAAACATTTCCCGCACTCAGGACAAGAATATGGCTTCTCGCCTGTGTGCAGTCTCTGATGTGTGTAAAGACGGGAGTTGCTTGAAAAACATTTCCCGCACTCAGGACAGGAATACACCTTCTCTCCCGTGTGAGATCTCTGATGTATGACAAAATGTGATTTGTGTATAAAACATTTCCCGCACTCAGGGCAGGAAAACGGCTTCTCCCCCGTGTGAGATCTCTGATGTGTGTAAAGATTAGACTTCCGTGAAAAACATTTCCCGCACTCAGGACAGGAATACGGCTTCTCCCCCGTGTGAGATCTCTGATGTATAACAAGATGTGTTTTGTGTACAAAACATTTCCCGCACTCAGGACAGGAATACGGTTTCTCCCCTGTGTGAGATCTTTTATGTGCATTAAGGTCAGATTTAGAATGGAAACACTTCCCGCACTCATTACAGGAATACGGCTTCTCCCCCGTGTGAGATCTTTTATGCACATTAAGGCGGGATTTATAATGGAAACATTTCCCGCACTCAGTGCAGGAGAACCTCTTCCCTGTTGGAAGGACGGCCCGGTCCCGCACAGTCTGAGGTTCCTCAGGATACGAGGAATGCGATGGTCCATCTACACTGGGTGGTGCCGGATGGACATTGGAGGGAGCCGGGTTTTCTCCTGGACTATACTGTGTGATGTCCTCATCTTCTACTTTCCAGTCTGGAGACAAAGTGAGACAATCCTCGGAGGTTTTCCTCATCTCCTGGCCATGGACTAAAATACAAAGACAAAGAGGATTACTAGACAGGAGCTGATTGGTTCCCCCAAACCAAGACTCCGCCCACATCAGGCTGCTTGGTCTCCTAATTCCACCCTCAAGGGAACTAGGAAATGGCTCCTCTGATCTCCTACCAGGTCATTTCTTTATTCATGGACCTTACTCAGAGAGTGAGGAAACAACCAGAACTGTCCTTTATAGGAGGGACAGTGATGAGGGGATTATAGGACGAGGGTCCCCACCCCCTCTATCACTCATCGCCATCTTCCCAACACAAGAAGTACTGCACTTCCTGATTTAGTCATGAAGAACAGCGGGGCTGAGCCCCACCAGAGGTCAGAGAATGAGGATAAGGGGAGCCCCCCACCAGAGGTCAGAGAGTGAGGATGGGGGAAGAACAACAAAGAGGAAGACTGATCCTGAAGACCACCATCATTGGGATATTGGCTCCTCCTCCATCCTGAAGACCACCGTCATTGGAGTATTGGCTCCTCCCCCATCCTGAAGACCACCATCATTGGTGTATTGGCTCCTCCCCACCTGAAGACCATCATTGGGGTAGTGGCTCCTCCCCATCCTGAAGACCACCATCATTGGTTTATTGGCTCCTTCCCCATCCCCATCCTGAAGACCACCATCATTGGGGTATTTGCTCCTCCCCCCTACCTGAAGACCATCATTGGGGTACTGGCTCCTCCCCTATCCTGAAGACCACCATCTTTGGGGCATTGGCCCATCCTGACCCTGAAGACCACCATCAGTGGGGTATTGGCTCCTTCCCCATCCTGACCCTGAAGACAACCATCATTGGGTTAGTGGCTCCTCCCCCATCCTGAAGACCACCATCATTGGGGTATTGACTCCTCCTCATCCTGAAGACCACCATCATTGGGGTATTGGCTCCTTCCCCATCCTGAAGACCACCATCATTGGGGTATTGGCTCCTACCCCATCCTGAAGACCACCATCATTGGGGTATTGGCTCCTCCCTCATCCTGAAGACCACCATCATTGGGGTATTGGCTCCTCCCTCATCCTGAAGACAACCATCATTGGGTTATTTGCTCCTTCCCCATCCTGAAGATCATCATCATTGGGGTATTGGCTCCTCCCACATCCTGAAGACCACCATCATTGGGGTAATGGCTCCTCCCCCATTAACACTTTCTGGTTGGAGGATGTGATCACATTATTATCACCATGTAACAGTCTGTGCTCCAATCACATCATCCAATATAAAATGTCCAGCTGGTAGGAAATGGGAGGAACAGAAGAGAAGAGGGCCTCTTCCCCACAACCCTGGGCTGTGGTTGTGGGGGGCTGACTCATCAGAATCTGAAAGTCCTGTTTAACAAGGACCGCAGATCAGGCCCCCCCTTGTAAATGAGTATGGGGTACATGCGGTCAGGTGCATTGCTTTGGCCAATCACAATGCACTCTCATAGCACAGTGTTTTGTGGGGTGCGGTGGGCTAAGAGCCCACCAAAGGCCCTTCCTGTTCACCAAACAGCCGATGTTCAAGTCAAACTTACGTTCAAGGACATCACAGACATATCCCTCCACCCGGCACAACCAAAAAACTGAGCAATGAACCCCAGAACTGTCCTGTCAGAGATCTCAATAGACCCGGGCATGGGGCAAATGCTGCAAAGTACATTCCTCCAGGGCCTAGCTGGATCAACGCCTACATTTTGCTGCCAGCTGAACTCCACAGTCTACATAAATATTGTCCAGATACATAAATGGTGCCTACAGCATGGAGGAATGGACTTCGTGTTCCTGACCCACCTGTGCTGATCTCTGTAGGAGTGTCCTCCTCTATAAATGTCCCCATTATTCCATCCTCCTCCATAGACTGCTGATCATCCCTCACATAAGGCTCTTCTTTTTCTGATTTCACCTCAACTTTTATATCTGTCAGATCTTCACCCTAAACCAAGAGAAGGAGAGAAAATATCATCTGTAAAATATAGGCTCACATAAAAACTTTACACATCATCTACATGAGTCCATGTTCTACATGCTCAGTCCCACCAACCTTGTAATGGTGAAGGATGATGTGACCATCTTGTGTGGAATCCCGGGAATACAGAGCACAGGGACATCTCTGTGGTGGGTTCCCATCACTGGATCCATCTACCTGATGATGGTGAGGGATGGTGTGACCTTCCTGTGTGGAATCCCGGGAATACAGAGGACGGGGACATCTCTCTGGTGGGTTCCCATGACTTGATCCATCTGTAGGAAACACACACACAGACTGAATCCATTGTTTCTATGTGTTTATCAGATGATGGGGGATCTAGGTGGATCCTCCGTACTGCTCTCTCCTTCCCAATAAAGTCTCCTCTTACCTTGGGACGTGAAGGTATGAAATTTTTCTGTCTTCATATCCTCAAAGATGTCCTTACTGTCTTCTAAATACCCCCAATCCTATATCAAGAAATAGACAGTGACACCCTGACACCTTATAGGAACCTGACACACACAATGATACAGTCACCATCCAGACACATCCCTTGTCTGTTACTGGAGAATGTCCCAGAATTCCCGGCACCGCTCACCTCTCCTGTCAGCAGCTCCATCATCTTCTTGGTAACTTCTAGTATCTTCTCCATGTTGTGTCTCTCAGGGTTTAGGGAGTCACATGGAGGCACTGTGATGGTCATATGATCACCTGACTTCAGAGGAGAAAATCTCTGTATTGAGGAACCAATAGGAACATCATGTTAGACTCCCAGAATCCTCCTCACCTCTCCAGTCAGGTCAGGTCTGTGTTTTATTAATAGATATGAGAGTGATGTCATGTGACCTCCCAGAATTCTCCTCACCTCTCCGGTCAGGTCTGTTTTATTAATAGAGATAAGAGTGATGTCAAGTGACCTCCCAGAATCCTCACCTCTCCGGTCAGGTCCGTGTTTTATTAATAGAGATGTGATGTCATGTGACCTCCCAGAATCCTCCTCACCTCTCCGGTCAGGTCCGTGTTTTATTAATAGAGATGAGAGTGATGTCATGTGACCTCCCAGAATCCTCCTCACCTCTCCAGTCAGGTCCGTGTTTTATTAATAGAGATGAGTTCTGTCATGTGACCTCCCAGAATCCTCCTCACCTCTCCGGTCAGGTCTGTGTTTTATTAATAGAGATGAGAGTGATGTCATGTGACCTCCCAGAATCCTTCTCACCTCTCCGGTCAGGTCTGTTTTTTATTAAGAGATAAGAGTGATGTCATGTGACCTCCCAGAATCCTCCTCACCTCTCCGGTCAACAGGTAGATAATCTCCAGGGTGAGGTTTAGTATCCTCTCGGTCATGTGACTCCGGTCCTCCTCCATCCTCATTCGTGTTGTCATTTTTTCTATGCCAGCATTCTTATAGAGAGATAAGTTTGGCAAATTAAAGTAAATATTATTGGAAGTTTCCTGTACATCTAAGATAAGATCTTATTATCTCCTCTGATGCCAGGTTCAGCAAAGCCTCCGCTCTACTTTCTGCCACATGGAATTTCTTATTTATACCTGACATCATTTCCTGTCTTCCATAGAGACTTCCTGTCCTGGTAGAAGGGAGATTACCACCTTGTGGAGCTCAGTGGAACTGCAGCCCTGAGAACCGTCTGGTAGTGTGATCCCGGCCTTGTGCTGGGTGTGTATGGACTGTATGTCCTCATAGAGGGGTCACCTCCACTTCCACCAAGGGGGACAGAAATATTTTTGCGTCGTTTGCAACAAAATATTAGCCTCCAATTTTTCATTATGTGGTGCTGTTTACAAGAAAGTTGCTGGAAAATCTCACTGTGGAATCCCTGACATCGCTGACCCACCCCATTATTTATACTCAGCTTTCAACAGGATCTGCCATTCACAGACCAGCAGTCTTTAGTTTGTCAGGTGGTGCTGTTGGTGGTCAGCAGGTTGTTTTCTTTTGCCATGTGTCATGATTGATGTCGATCTGCTTCGCTCGATGATTGATGGGCGATATGCATCAAGAGACTTCTCAAAAAGTGTGTTTGTGTGCTTTATTTACCTATCACTTTGAGAATTAGTAGAGGTAAACCCCTGCTCATTCACGTAAGGGGGCCCATATCTGAGCCCCCCCTGTTATTAACAAGGGCTTTCAGATTCTATTAAGCCCCCTGCCAGCAGACCCCTGCAGTCACCAGGCCAGGAATGTGGGGAAGAGGCCTTTGCCCTTGGGGACAAGGTGCTTTGAGAAGGAAACCCTCCATGTTCAGAGCACTTAGCCTGGTATAAATCAGCAGTGAGGGGGCGCACACTTGTCCTCTGCTTTCCTTTCCCACCAGGCATGCTTGGATAAAGGTCTGATATGGATTATTGGGGAGCACCAATGCTTTTTTTCTTGATTTTTGAGAGGGGTTTCCTCTTAAAATTCTTACCAGACCCAAAGAGTTTGGTACATAGGTGTGCACCCCAATATATATCAGTACAAGGTTAGGATAGTATAAGGCTAGAGCAGTACAGTGACAGGCTGGGGCAGGCAGTATAGTGACAGGCTGGGGCAGTAGAGTGGCAGGCTGGGGCAGGCAGTATAGTGACAGGCTGGGGCAGTATAGTGACAGGCTGGGGCAGGCAGTACAGTGACAGGCTGGGGCAGTATAGTGACAGGTTGGGGCAGGCAGCACAGTAACAGGCTAGGGCAGTATAGTGACAGGCTGGGGCAGGCAGTACAGTAACACGCTGGGGCAGTATAGTGACAGGCTGGGGCAGGCAGTACAGTGACAGGCTGGGGCACTATAGTGACAGGCTGGGGCAGGCAGTACAGTGACAGGCTGGGGCAGTATAGTGACAGGCTGGAGCAGTACAGTGACAGGCTGTGGCAGGCAGTACAATAACAGGCTAGGGCAGTATAGTGACAGGCTGGGGCAGGCAGTACAGTGACAGGCTGGGGCAGTACAGTGACAGGCTGGGGCAGTATAGTGACAGGCTGGGGCAGTACTGTGACAGGCTGGGGCAGTACTGTGACAGGCTGGGGCAGTACAGTGACAGGCTGGGGCAGTATAGTGACAGGCTGGGGTAGGCAGTATAGTGACAGGCTAGGGCAGTATAGTGACAGGCTGGGGCAGTATAGTGACAGGCTGGGGCAGTAGAGCGACAGGCTGGGGCAGGCAGTACAGTGACAGGCTGGGGCAGTATAGTGACAGGCTGGGGCAATACAGTGACAGGCTGGGGCAGTAAAGTGACAGGCTGGGGCAGGCAGTATAGTGACAGGCTGGGGCAGTACAGTGACAGGCTAGGGCAGTATAGCGACAGGCTGGGGCAGGCAGTACAGTGACAGGCTGGGGCAGTTATAGTGAAAGACTTGGGCAATACAGTGACAGGCTTGGGCAGTACATTGACAGGCTGGGGCAGGCAGTACAGTGACAGGCTGATGCAGTATAGTGACAGGCTGGGGCAGTACAGTGACAGGCTGGGGCAGTATAGTGACAGACTGGGGCAGTACAGTGACAGGCTGGGGCAGGCAGTATAGCGACAGGCTGGGTATAGGCTTCTCTGAAGAGAAAAGTTTTCAGGGATTGCCTAAAAGTGGACAGAGTAGGAGATAGACAGATTGGGGTAGGGAATTCCATAGGATGGGAGCTGCTCTGGAGAAATCCTGGAAGCGAGCATGGGAGGAGGTGAGAAGGGAACTAGAGAGCAGGAGGTCTTGGGAGGAACAAAGAGAGCGATTTGGTTGGTATTTTGAGACTAGGTTAGTGATGTAGCTGGGCGAGTTGTGGGTGACTTTGTAAGTTTTTGTCAGTATTTTGAGTATAATTTGTTGGGTGGGAGAGAGCCAATGGAGGGATTAGCAGAGAGGGGTGGAACACACTGAATGGAGGCCAATGACGGGATTAGCAGAGAGGGGTGGAGGACACTTGAGTGGAAGCCAGTGGAGGGATTGGCAGAGAGGGGTGGAGGACACTGAGTGGAGGCCAGTGGAAGGATTGGAAGAGAGGGGTGGAGGACACTGAATGGAAGCCAGTGGAAGGATTGACAGAGAGGGGTGGAGGACACTGAATGGAGGCCAATAGAGGGATTGGCAGAGAGGGGTGGAAGATACTGAGTGGAAGCCAATGGAGGGATTGACAGAGAGGGTTGGAGGACACTGAGTGGAACCCAGTGGAGGGATTGATAGAGAGGGGTGGAGGACACTGAATGGAAGCCAGTGGAGGGATTGGCAGAGAGGGTTGGAGGACACTGAGTGGAACCCAGTGGAGGGATTGACAGAGAGGTTTGGAAGACACTGAATGGAAGCCAGTGGAGGGATTGGCAGAGAAGGTTGAAGGACATTGGATGGAAGCCAGTGGAGGATTGACAGAGAGGGTTGGAGGACACTGAATGGAAGCCAGTGGAGGGATTGGCAGAGAGGGTTGGAGGACACTGGATGGAAGCCAGTGGAGGGATTTGCAGAGAGGGGTGGAGTACACAGAGTGGAAGCCAGTAGAGGGATTGGCAAAGAGTGGTGGAGGACACTGAGTGGAAGCCAGTAGAGGGATTGGCAGAGAGGGTTGGAGGACACTGGATGGAACCCAGTGGAGGGATTTGCAGAGAGAGCTGGAGGACACTGAGTGGAAGCCAGTAGAGGGACTGGCAAAGAGAGGTGGCAGACACTGAACAGTTGGTAAGGTGGATGAGCTTGGCAGCAGCATTCATGATGGACTGAAGGCGGTATACCCTATGTAAAGGTAAGCCAATGGGGAGGGAGTTGCAGTAGCCGAGGCGAGAGATAACCAGGGAGTGAATTATGAGCTTTGTTATGTCATTGGTTAGGAAGGGGCGTATCTTGGAGATGTTGCGGAGGTTGACACGGTGCGCTTTGGACAGTTATTGGATGTGGGGCACAAAGGAGAGTTCAGAGTCCAGGATTACACCTAGTATCCTGGCAGGCAGGGACGGGTTGATGGTTGCGCAGTACTAGTAGAAAGAAAATAGAAGGCAGGCTCCACCTCGGAGATGTTCCAGCAGTCCTCCATGAGAGCTAGGAGCTCCTGAAACTGCTGGGGGAAGAGTTAGGGAGATTCGTCCTGAATATCTGCATGTCTTTACATGGGCACCCTCGCCCAGCAGCAAGTGCAATCAATTTCAGAGCAAATCATACTCCGCAGAGTGTAGTTGTGGGCGATTATGGTGTGCCCAGGCACACCCTGTAAAAAAGCTCTAAGTCGGTATTGGTCACTAAACCCAGTCTGACAGATACCTGTTCCTCAAAGCATTCTGAAGACTGTTTACGACTTGACCGTTTGTAAGAGGGTCTCATTAGGAGTCTTTTGAAGACCCCGGGTTGGTGAGGGTTTATGGTTGCCCTGCTCAACTTCTAACTTGTCTGCTTTCTGTCGAACGTAGGCAGGATTTGTGACATGGATGTGACTGTGGTTTGTTAAATGTGCCACCTTCCATGAACTGGATGGGCAGAGATAAGATTTAAATCTGACCGTATTTGTTACCAATTTGCAAATTAGGGTGCCATTGTGGTCAGCACTACTCCCTCTTTCTGTCGGCATAGTTTGGGGGTTGTCAGATGTGACGGGTTTGAACAACACCTGTCCCCGTGTCACCATAAGGCCTCATTCACATTTGTGTATTCGGATCTCTCTTCAGAGAACATTTTGCAGGCGGTGAGTAGGCTTTGCTTTTCACGACCTTCTTAATCACTTGGACCTCGCACAAGCGTCCCCATTCACTTGTTTGGATTGCGATTGGTGGAAGCTATGCGGTGAGGGGATCATTCTCGCCATGGCTGTGAAGCAAGGCATTGCAACTATGGCATGTTTACACCCCTATGCTGCTTCTGCAGCTAAAGGAAGCAGCAGTTGGGGGCAGTAAAACCATGACTCAAAGGCAAGCTTTTACCCCCCCAACCTCATATGTGAAAGAGTCCTGGTATTGCAGCCAGTCACAGTGTCTCCGATCTCCCCCATACCAGTCACAGTGTCCAAAAATGTAATCAGTAGTCAGGAAATTAGATGCATAATGTAGAAAACCTGTAGGTGCTTCTTGGATTTTGGGCCTCTGCTGCGAAAGTCTCACACATGTGGTATTGCCACACTTGGAAGGAGTCGCAGAATGTGTTTTGGGGTGCAATTCTAAGTATGCCTATGCTGCGTGCTAGAAATATCGGAATAATTGACAACTTTGTGTAAAAAAAAACTACATTTTCATTCTGTATTTCCAAAAAAAAGAAGCATTCAAAAGACTCACCGTGCCCCTTAGAAGATACTGTGGGAAGTTTGCTTTCCAAAATGTCATCATTTTGTGGGTGCTTCCACTGTTCTGGTGCTCCAGGGCCTCCAAAAATGTGATAGGCAGTCAGGAATTTAGATTGAAGGTGCTCCTTGGATTTTGGGCCCTATTTTTGTGGTGAGACTGTGAAAAAGTCTCATACATGTGATACGGCCATACTCGGGAAGAGTAGCAGAATGTGTTTTGGGGCATAAATCTAAGTATGCCTATGATGTGTATTATACATACCCTATTGATTGACAGCTTTGTTTAAAAAACGAATACATTTTTAATTTTTTTTTTCCTGCATCTTCCAAAAACGTGGCAAAAAACAGACTCACTATACCTGGAAAATGCCTTTGAGTGTTTGCTTTCCAAAATGCGGTCATTTTGTGGGTGTTCCCACTGCCCTGGCACTACAGGGACTCGAGAAATACGATAGCTAGTCAGGAATTTAGACACATATTTTTTGTTCCTTAAACGCCCAAAGGTGCTCCTTATATTTTGGGTCCCTCTCTACATCTAAAGGCAGATTTGCATTAATTAACTTACAAAGAAAACATTCTTTTTTAAATATATACAGTATATTTGCACTTATTTCATAAAAAAATATATCTACATGTTATGAGGTGCATATGAAATGTTATCTTTAGCAATGCCATATTAACCATTGACAGGCAACAGGTGGAACAATTGAAGCAAATGCAGGTGTCTGAGAATTCTTATAACACCAGTACTTCACTGAAACAGTCAGTCCTGTCATTTAGATCAATCTCCTCTGTTCTTCACCCAAAAGCAACATCTAGCTCCTCTATTACCATATAGTTATTTCCTTTGAAGCCCCAACTTAAGAGCAGAGGAGATCAGACTACACAACAGGAGAGGCTCAACCAGCAGAGACAAACCACCTGCTTCTATGTCCTCAAAGAGTAACCCATATAGAAGTTTGTGGACTTTTATGTCTTTAGTGAACTCTGATCTCCTTATAAAGTGTTTCTTCCATGATAAAGATCAGAGGAGCGCTCAGCCACGTGTTTTCTGAGATGTATATCAAGGTGTGCTTCTTCCCAGTGTGAGATCTCTGATGTACGGCAACATATCATCCATATAGAAGACATTTCCCGCACTCAAGATAATAATACACCTCGATGGTGGTGTGGGTTCTCTGATGTTTTGTTCTTATGAAAAACATTTCCCGCACTCAGGGGAGGAAAATAGCTTTTCCCTTGTGCTGCATTTTTGATGATCGATAAGATGGGACTTCCGTAAAAAACCTTTTCCACAATCAGAACATGAATACGGCTTCACATCTGTGTGAGATCTTTGATGTGAGGTAAGATAGGCCTTCTCTGAAAAAACACATCCCGCACTCAGGACAAGTATACGGCTTCTCGCCCGTGTGCAGTCTCTGATGTCTGGAAAAATTGGGCCTATTAGAGAAACATTTACCACACTCGAGGCAGGAATATGGCTTCTCCCCTGTGTGAGATCTTTGATGTGCCACGAGATCTGATTTCTGTGAAAAACATTTCCCGCACTCCTTGCAGGCATATCGCTTCTCGCCCCTGTGCAATCTCTGATGCCTGGAAAGGCTAGCCTTCTGTGTAAAACATTTCCCGCACTCTTCACAGTTATACGGCTTCTCCCCCGTATGAGATCTGTAATGTATGATGAGATCTGATTTATGAAGAAAATATTTTCCACACCCAGAACATACATAAGGCTTCTCAACCTTGTGAGATCTCTGATGTACAGAAAGAGTTAATTCAGAGTTAAAATCTTCCCCACATTCAGGACAGGAAAATGTCTTCTCCTCCTGAATCATGGCCCCATTTCCCACAGTACGAGGTTGCTCAGAGTCAGAGGGTTTCCATGGTCTCTCCACACTGGGAAGTCCACCATCCATAGTGGAGCTCATTGTCTTTTCTCCGACACAATCTCCTGGGATGTCCTCATCTTCCATTTTACAACCTGGTGATAAAGTGAGACGATCCTTTGAGGGTTTCTCCATGGCGGGTCCTGGAAAAATATAGAAAAACATCATCAATAGAATAGGAGAGGGTTAGTTCACTTCCATCAAGATTCCATCTGGATCAGGGAGATAGGAGGGAGCAGATGTTCTCTGTGGATGTCCCAACCAGCTGGGACTCTTCCCCTCTTCTGTCAAAGGGTCTTTGCTCCTCCTCCCAGATCACTTCTACATTTTCACCGCCTTGTCAGAGGAACAGGAACCAATGGGGGCTGGGGGGGGGCAGTAACAGAGCAGAGATAAGAGAAGAATATATTCTGGTCACCTGTGCTGATCTCTTTAGGAGTGTCCTCCTCTATGAATGTCCTCCTCATTCCAGCCTCCTCCGTATATTGCTGATCATCCCTCACATACGTCTCTTCTACTTCACTCTCAACTTTCATGTTCATCAGATCTTCACCCTAAACCAACAGAATGGCAGAAAATAACATCTGTAACATAGAAGGATTTATGATGTGAGATCACATAGAACAGGAGGAATAGTGCCCCATAATTGGTGTCAGTGGTAAGAAACGTGCCCCATCATTGGTGTCAGTGGGAGGAATAGTGCCCTATCATTGGTGTCAGTGGGGGGAGGAATAGTGCCCCATCGGTGTCAGTGTGGGGGGAGGGAATAGTGCTCCGTCATTGGTGTCAGTGGTAGTGTCCCAACATTGGTGTCAGTGGGAGGAATAGTGTCCCATCATTGGTGTCAGTGGGAAGAATCGTGCCCCATGATTGGTATCAGTGGGAGGAATAGTGCCCCATCATTGGTGTCAGTGGGAGGAATAGTGCCCCATCATTAGTGTCAGTGGGGGGAGGAATAGTGCCCCATCGGTGTCAGTGTGGGGGGAGGGAATAGTGCTCCGTCATTGGTGTCAGTGGGGGAAGGGGATAGTGTCCCAACATTGGTGTCAGTGGGAGGAATAGTGTCCCATCATTGGTGTCAGTGGGAGGAATAGTGTCCCATCATTGGTGTCAGTGGGAAGAATTGTGCCCCATCATTGGTGTCAGTGGGAGGAAGAGTGCCCCATCATTAGTGTCAGTAGGGGGAGGAAGAGTGCCCCATTGTTGGTGTCAGTGGGGGGAGGAAAGTGCCCCACCGTTGGTGTCAGTGGGGGGGGGGAATAGTGCCCCATCGTTGGTGTCAGTGGAAAGAAACGTGCCCCATCATTGGTGTCAGTGGAAATAAATGTCATTGGTGTCAGTGGGGGGGATAGTGTCCCAACATTGGTGTTGGGAGGAATAGTGCCCCATCATTGGTGTCAGTTGGAGGAATAATGTCCCACCATTGGTGTCAGTGGGAAGAATAGTGCCCCATCATTGGTGTCAGTGGGGGGAGGAATAGTGTCCCATCATTGGTGTCATTGGGAGGAATAGTGTCCCATCATTGGTGTCAGTGGGAGGAATAGTGTCCCATCATTGGTGTCAGTGGGAAGAATTGTGCCCCATCATTGGTGTCAGTGGGAGGAATAGTGCCCCATCATTGGTGTCAGTAGGGGGAGGAAGAGTGCCCCATTGTTGGTGTCAGTGGGGGGAGGAAAGTGCCCCATCGTTGGTGTCAGTGTGGAAATAGTGCCCCATCGTTGGTGTCAGTGGGAAGAAACGTGCCCCATCATTGGTGTCAGTGGAAATAAATGTCATTGGTGTCAGTGGGGAGGATAGTGTCCCAACATAGGTGTTGGGAGGAATAGTGCCCCATCATTGGTGTCAGTTGGAGGAATAATGTTCCACCATTGGTGTCAGTGGGAAGAATAGTGCCCCATCATTGGTGTCAGTGGGGGGAGGAATAGTGCCCCATCATTGGTGTCAGTGGGAGGAATAATGCCCCATCATTAGTATCAGTGACACCAATGATGGGGCACTATTCCTCCCACTGACACCAATGACACTTAACTTGCTGACCCCTGTTCCAGCATGGTGCTGCTGCAGCCAGCATACCTGGTTACAGCAGCACCATCAGCACAGCACACTTACCTGTCAGCTGTCCTTCTTCACTCCGGCCTCTCCCTCACTCGATGTTCGCGGGGCCGCTCGGCTCCGCCTCCTCGCAGGTGATTGGCCGCCTGTGTGCCTTTCCTGAGCTACAGTTCTGGCGCCCAATCACTGGTGAGGAGGCGGAGCCGAGCGGCAGGAGTGAGGGAGTCGCCTGAGTGAATGAAGGAGCAGCGCTTCCTGGACTGGATCGTCGTGGGACTGGGACCGGAGCCAGGATAAGGTACAGCAGCCCCCTGCCCACCCCTGTACTTAGTGTCCCTTTCTTGCTGAAAATACGCCCCTGCCGGCGGGCTGGATAAATGGCCTCGGTGGGCCGTATGTGGCCCGCGGGTCGTAGTTTGAGTACCCCTGACATAGAACATCTCATCTTGTAGAGTCCACACATCGTCTCCACATGTCAGAGTGTTCCATCACTTTATGTTCCCGACCCTCAACGCCACCAACCTGATGATGGTGAGGGATGGTGTGACCTTCCTGTGTGGAATCCCGGGAATACGGAGGACGGGGACATCTCTCTGGTGGGTTCCCATGACTGGATCCACCTACCTGATGATGGTGAGGGATGGGGTGAACTTCCTGTGTGGAATCCCGGGAATACAGAGGACGGGGACATCTCTCTGGTGGGTTCCCATGACTGGATCCATCTACCTGATGATGGTGAGGGATGGTGTGACCTTCCTGTGTGGAATCTAGGGCATACAGAGGACGGGGACATCTCTCTGGTGGGTTCCCATGACTGGATCCATCTACCTGATGATGGTGAGGGATGGTGTGACCTTCCTGTGTGGAATACTGGGAATACAGAGGACAGGGACATCTCTCTGGTGGGTTCCCATGACTGGATCCATCTACCTGATGATGGTGAGGTATGGTGTGACCTTCCTGTGTGGAATCCCAGGAATACAGAGGACGGGGACATCTCTCTGGTGGGTTCCCATGATTGGATCCATCTGTAGGAAACACACACACTGACTGAATCAATTGTTTCTATGTGTTTATCAGATGATGGGGGATCTAGGTGGATCCTCCGTACTGCTCTCTCCTTTACAATAAAGTCTCCTCTTACCCGGTGATGTGAGGGGCGGCTGATTGTCCATCATGATGTCCTTGTAGAGGTCCTTGTGTCCTTCTAAATACTCCCACTCCTCCATGGAGAAATAGACAGTGACACCCTGACACCTTATAGGAACCTGACACACACAATGATACAGTCACCATCCAGACACATCCCTTGTCTGTTACTGGAGAATGTCCCAGAATTCCCGGCACCGCTCACCTCTCCTGTCAGCAGCTCCATCATCTTCTTGGTGATTTCTAGAATCTTCTCCATGTTGTGTCTCTCAAGGTTTAGGGAGTCACATGGAGGCACTGTGATGGTCATATGATCACCTGACTTCAGAAGAGGAAATCTCTGTATTGAAGAACCAATAGGAATATCATATTAGACTCCCAGAATCCTCCTCACCTCACCGGTCAGGTCTGTGTTTTATTAATAGAGATAAGAGTGATGTCATGTGACCTCCCGGAATCCTCCTCACCTCTCCGGTCAGGTCTGTGTTTCATTAATAGAGATGAGTGACGTCATGTGACCTCCCAGAATCCTCCTCACCTCTCCGGTCAGGTCTGTGTTTTATTAATAGATATAAAAGTGATGTCATGTGACCTCCCAGAAATCCTCCTCACCTCTCCAGTCAGGTCTGTATTTTATTAATAGAGAGGAGAGTGATGTCATGTGACCTCCTAGAATCCTCCTCACCTCTCCGGTCAGGTCTGTGGTTTATGAATAGAGATAACAGTGATGTCATGTGACCTCCCAGAATCCTCCTCACCTCTCCGATCAGGTCTGTATTTTATTAATAGAGATAAGAGTGATGTCATGTGACCTCCCAGAATCCTCCTCACTTCTCCGGTCAGGTCTGTGTTTTATTAATAGAGAGGACAGTGATGTCATGTGACCTCCCAGAATCCTCCTCACCTCTCCGGTCAGCAGGTAGATGATCTCCAGGGTGAGGTTCAGTATCCTTTCAGTCATGTGACTATGGTCCTCCTCCATCCTCATTGATGTGGTCATGTGATGTATGTGGGTTTCTCTGTAGACAGATAACAGAGTTATCTGGACTGCATTGGTTGTACAATATTAGTATGGGGATGTATTGGGGTCAATATGAGGGTTGCTGTTACTTTCAGTACTGCCAGCTCTCTGCTATTGTCCGACATGAGACACACATTTAGTCTGCACCGCTCAATGTTTTCTAATTTACTTGAGACGGGAAGGGGTTGTAGCCAGTATTTTTTTGGACTTAGTGTCAAATCAAAAAAATATAATTTTACATGAAGCACAGATTGGACCCTCCTCTATCCTTTATCAAGTGCCATGTGGTCGGCAGAAGGTCGGTGGGGACTAAGGGTCAGATCTCTGTTGAGGTCTAATGCCCATAGCTGCAGTACACTTTACCTCTAGCAGCCACCATTTAAGGCCCATTATGTGTGATGACCAGTATCTTCCTTTGCAATCATGTGGACTAGACATGGGAGGAACAGTTGAGGGGGAAAGGTGTAGAACAGGTTGAACTGATCCCATGGAGTTTCTAGAGTTTCCACTGCAAAGGCCAAAGGGCCCCTAGAGCTGGCGACAGACTTGTCTAGTTTGTGTTTGAATCTAGACACAAGAAGATCTATATCCAGCGTCCTCAAATTTTGCATAGGAATTGGAACACCTCTAGGTGACGAGCCCATTTTCCTCCAGATGCTGGGTACTACCTGCCAATTTTCATCACCTTTCATGTAGATGGTGGACAAAGTCGGAACCACCAGTTTCACTCAAGTTAAAATCAGGTTTACTTCTTATTGAACAGTGCAACTTCTGGTGCAAATCTGATGTCTGTTGTAGTGGAGTGAAGCTCAAATCTCAAACAAGAGTAATCCCACTAAAGGAGAAGGTACATTATTACCCCCTCTTATGCCACCAAACTCCACCAAATACCACTCATGTAGACCAAATGTGGGATTAAGTCTTCTTCAGAAACCAGAACCATCTCATGGTCACCCGTTGAGTTTTTCCCACCAACCTCCATATCACTACTATGCCCTCTGTACCATGTCCCATAGTGATGAAGAGATCAGACGGAGGAACTACAGAGCTCTGTGGAGGACCAAGAGATCGTCACACCCTGGTCATGTTGCCTTCTGAAGAAGACTTCAGCCGGCATTGGAGCCGTGTTCAGAGAGGGAAGAATTGACCTTTACAGAGAAAACTTTTATTTGGGTTTGGCATTCGGTGACAAGGTGATCAGTTACACCCACTTCTGTTTTCTGTCCCCATTACTTTTCTTTTATACCAGTGTTGTACCTTAAATATGGGAAATCTGATGAAACACCTAGAGCAATAGAAACACTTTGGGCAGATAAATCGGATATTTATTGGTCTGCGTGTACATCAGACTGAGGAGAGGGGGATTTAAAGGGCAAATCAATTTGGGTTCCCAAAATAAAATCTCATTACCTCCTCTGCTGCCAGTTCCAGCAATGTCTTCTCCGTAATCTGTTCCTCACATCACTTCCTGTCTGTACCTGATATTACTTCAAGTCTGATCCTGACATCACTTCGTGTCTACCATAGAGACTTCCTGTCTGGATAGAAGTGAGATCCCCACCTTGTGGAGCTCAGAGGAACTGCAGCCCTGAGAACCGTCTGGTAGTGTGACCCCGGCCTTGTGCTGGGTGTGTATGGACTGTATGTCCTCATAGATTATACAATAACAACAATGATACATTAATCTCTGCAGCTCATTTTCCCAATCTATACCCCTTCACAGGGCTTGTTTCCCAGAAAATAGGTCCACTTCTGATGAGTGCCTCTCATCTCTGCCTATGGTGGCAACCTCATCCTTTTAAACCTGAACACATATTAATGACACAGGTTCTGGGGCTGATTAAGGTGGTAATTAAACTCACTTGGTGCCTTATCGGAAATAAATTAGCCTCAGAACCTGTGTCATTAATATGTGTTTGGGTTTAAAGGGATGAGGTGGCCACCCTATCTCTGCCCTCTACCCACTTCCAAGTACGTCCCTTGGTTTTACCCCCTACCCACTTCCAAGTACATCCCTTGGTTTCACCCCCTACCCACTTCCAAGTACGTCCCTTGGTTTTACCCCCCTACCCACTTCCAAGTACATCCCTTGGTTTCACCCCCTACCCACTTCCAAGTACGTCCCTTGGTTTTACCCCCTACCCACTTCCAAGTACATCCCTTGGTTTCACCCCCTACCCACTTCCAAGTACATCCCTTGGTTTCACCCCCTACCCACTTCCAAGTACATCCCTTGGTTTCACCCCCTACCCACTTCCAAGTACATCCCTTGGTTGCACCCCCTACCCACTTCCAAGTACATCCCTTGGTTGCACCCCCTACCCACTTCCAAGTACATCCCTTGGTTGCACCCCCTACCCACTTCCAAGTATATCCCTTGGTTTCACCCCCTACCCACCTTCCAGTAAAGAATGCAGTACCAAGTATCATATTGTGGTGATAAGTCATTTTTATTGAAATGTAACAATTAAAAGAAAAGCAGTAAAATAGATCCCCTGCAGGCAACAACACTAGGTCACCCCCAGCAACAATAGATCCCCTAGCAACAATAGACCCGCTGCAACAAGCTACCCCCCAGAAACGAGATCCAAACTAGCAACAATAGACCCCTGCAACAATAAATCTCTCAGCAGCCACCATCAATGGGAATCTCAAATAGCAATAGATCCCTCCTTCAACATAACACTTCCCCCAGCAACAATATATCCCCATCCAGCAAAAACAGATCCCTGCAGCAAAAGTAGATCCCCCAGCAGCAAACAACAGACCCTCCAACACACCCCATCGCCCTTTGCCATTACATACATTCAGTGCTGCAGGCATTGCATTCCCCCACATTCCCGCTGAACAAAATCCATGCCCCTTCAATAACAATATATACGGCTCAAAAAAATGAAAGGAAGACTATGAAAACCCATCAGACCTCAATGGGGAGGAATCTCCTGCTGGATCTCTATACTGATATGGACAGGGTAATGAGGGAGGAATGTAAGAATGCCCCATCGTTTGATGGAAATGAAAATGATCGACCTACAGAGGACTGAATTCAAAGACACCCCGAAAATCAAAGTGAAGGAATGATGCAATGCAGCAGGCGAGTCCATTTGGCTGAAATGTCATTGCAGCAACTCAGAATGGTCCTCAGTAGTCTGTGTGGCCCCCACATGCTTGTATGCATGCCTGACAACGTTGGGGGAGGGTCCTAATGAGACCACGGATGGTGTCCTTGGGGATTTCCTTCCAGATCTGGACCAGGGCATCACTGAGCTCCTGGACAGTCTGAGGTGCAACCGGGCAGTGTTGGATGGACCGAAACATGACATCCCAGAGGTGTTCTATTGGATTTACGCCAGGCGAGCGTGGGGGCCATTCAATGGTATCAATTCCTTCATCCTCCAAGAACTGCCTGCATACTCTCACCACATGAGGCCAGGCATTTTCATGCACCAGGAGGAACCCAGGACCCACTGCACCAGCGTAGGGTCTGACAATGGGTCCAAGGATTTCATCCTGATACCTTACTGGCAGTCAGGGTGCCATTGTCTAGCCTGTAGAGGTCTGTGCATCCCTCCATGGATATGCCTCCCCAGACTATCATTGTGACCCATTGTGGTACATGTTACCTCTTTGGGGATTCCTTCTCCAGAGGGACTCACTGATTTTCATGGTTGACCAAGATCAGCTTTCACTTACTGTCACCTACTTGGATATGGACCTAGATCCTCAGCGTCACCTGGGTATACCTGCTAGCTCTCAGCATTGACCCTTGTATCCAGCCTAGTGCCCTTCCCTGGCATCCCCATTGTGGGATGCTAAGATGACCTCCTGTTAGGAAATTTCACGATATAGGTCCTTGTAGTCAGCATCTTCCCAAGAGCCAAACTCCTACAAGATCCATTCAAATAAGGCTTCACCAGGTTCCAGCATTGGTAGCTACCTGTCAACGGTGGGTGAAACAGTTCAGCCTATGCCTTCACTATAAAAGCCCATACCCTGTGTATTCTTAGCTCCATTGTCCCCAGGCAGGAAGTTCTCCCCTTCTCCTCCATCAAGGGAGTC